GACTCGGTTTCCGCGTTCGTCCCCCCGGGTCTGGATCCCCGCCCCGCCTGCGCAGCCCCAGGCCCCGCCTCTGCCCGCCCCGGGTGCCCGTCACTTCCTGCCCGGCCCGGTGAAGGCCCAGCCGGGCGGCGGCGACGGCGGCAGCGTCCGAGCCATGGTCGCGCTGGAGAACCCCGAGGGCGGCCCGGAGGCGGCGGAGGGCACCCCGGGCGGGCGGCGGCTGCTGTGAGCGCGGGCGGGCGGGGCGCGGCGTGAATCTGGGGCCCCCTCCCCTCACTCCCCCTCCGGGGCTTCAGCCTCCGTCTTGCCTCCCTTTTCGCCCGCTGTTGACCCCCCATGCTGGGGGGGAGTCTTCATTGTTACCCAGCGGGGACACCCTCCTGGCGCCCCGGGGATTGGCTGGGGAGGGGACCCCGGTCCGTGCCCCCACTTCCCGGGTCTGCGCCCCGACTCCCTCGGTCGGCGCCCCCCCACTCCCCCGGTCCGACCCCCAGCTCCCCCTGTTCGCCCCTCCAACTCCCGGGTCCGCCCCCCCCAACTCTGGGCTCTGCGCCCCCACTTCCTGGGTCCGCGCCCCAACTCCCTGGGTCTGCGCCCCGACTCCCCCGGTCGATGCCCCCCCACTCCCCGGGTCCGCCTCCCAGCTCCCCGATTGCCCCACGCACTTCCCGGCTCTGCCTCCAACTCCCGGGTCCGCCCCCCAACTCCCGGCTCTGCGCCCCCACTTCCTGGGTCCGCCCCCAACTCCCAGTGCGCGCCCCCATTCCCCAGGCCCCCGAGGTGCCCGCCAGAGAGCTTCCCGCCAGGGGTTCCTGGGCCTGTGTCCGCGAGCTCGGGCGAGAGGTGCCCTGGGCGGGGGTCACCCATGCGGCCGTGCGCCCCGGCTCGGCCTCTCGGGCTCGCCCCGCTCTGCTCGCCGTCTGGGCTTGTCTGCGCCCCCAGCCTTTCCCGGCAGACGCAGCCCCAGAACCCTTGCAGGTTAAATCAGGAATCCGCGCGTCCTCCCGGCGTTTTTGGGGAGGGGGGACCTGGACGCGGGGTGGCCTGTGCGGGGTTCACCCGTGCGTCACCCCGCGCGCGCAGGGACCTGGGGACCCTAGGGGTGCACCCCCGGGGTCCGCGTTCCGTTCCTGTCTCCTCCGTGTGCCGACCTGCCTCCACCTGGGCAGGTCATTTCACCCTCCTGTGCCTCAGTTTCCCCTTCTGTAAAATGGGATCGTAAGTGGGGCCTGTTCTCCAAGTGCTGGGGGTTACCGAGGTGGCCCTGGGCTGGGCCCAGCACACGGAGTGTCCATTGTTTCCTTATTACTAATTATCGTTAATGTCTCATTAATTATTTTAGTATTACTCTTATTTGAGAGGGAGTCTCACTGTGTCGCCCAGGCTGCAGTGCAGTGGCGCGATCTCGGCTCACCGCAACCTCCGCCTCCTGGGGTGAAACGATCCTCCTGCCTCAGCCTCCTGAGTCGCTGGGATTACAGGCACGCGCCACCACCCCGGCTAATGTTTTGTATTTTTAGTAGAGACGGGGTTTCACCATATTGGCCAGGATGGTCTCGATCTCCTGACCTTGTGATTCACCCACCTTGGCCCCCTAAAATACAGCGGTGAGCCGCTGCACCTGGCCTTTAGCATTGGTTTTAAATGATGATTTATTACTATCATCATTATGTTTATGATATCATGGCTGTTACCTCCCCCAGAGGCCATACCCATGGCTGCAGAGGTGATTTGTATCTGAAGGAGAAAGCATGCCTCTTTGATTGGTTGATTGATTAATTGATTGGAGACAGAATCTCCATCCATTGTCCAGGCTGGAGTAGAGGATGCCTCCTTTTCTTTTTTTTGAGACAGAATTTCACTTTTGTTATTCAGGCTGGAGTGCAATGGTGTGATGTTGGCTCACAGCAACTTCCACCTCCCGGGTTCAAGTCATTCTCCTGCCTCGGCCTCCCAAGTAGCTGGGATTACAGGCATGCACCACCACGCCCGGCTAATCTTGTATTTTTAGTAGAGATGGGGTTTCTCCATGTTGGTCAAGCTGGTCTCAAACTCCCAACCTCAGGTGATCCGCCCGCCTGGGCCTCCCAAAGTGCTGGGATTCCAAGCGTGAGCCACTGCGCCCAGACTTTTTTTTAATATTAGAGATGGGGTCTTGCTACATTGCCCAAGCTGGTCTAAACTCTTGGGCTCAAGCCGTCATCCCTCCTCTGCCTCCCAAAGTGCTGGGATTACAGGTGTGAGCCACCACTCTAGTTTATTGAGATGAAATTAGATTTATTAGTATTTTTATTAAAACAGGGTCTCACTCTATCACCCGGGCTGGGGTGCAGTGGTTCAATCACAGCTCACGCAGCTTCCACCTGCCGGGCTCAGGTGATCCTCCTGCCCCTGCCTCCCGAGTTGCTAGGACCACAGGTGTGCACCACCATGCTTGGCTTATTTAGTTATTATTTTTTGAGACGGAGTTTTGCTCTTGTTACCCAGGCTGGAGTGCAATGGCGCGATCTCGGCTCACCACAACCTCCGCCTCCTGGGTTCAGGCAATTCTCCTGCCTCAGCCTCCTGAGTAGCTGGGATTACAGGCACGCGCCACCATGCCCAGCTAAGTTTTTGTATTTTTAGTAGAGACGGGGTTTCACCATGTTGACCCGGATGGTCTCGATCTCTTGACCTCGTGATCACCCGCCTCGGCCTCCCAAAGTGCTGGGATCACAGGCGTGAGCTGCCGCGCCCGGCGCCTGGCTAATTTTTGTATTTTCAGTAGAGCCAGGGTTTCATCATGTTGGCCAGACCTCAAGTGATCCAACTGCCTCGGCCTCCCAAAGTGCTGGGATGACAGGCGTGAGCCACTGTGCCCGGCACCTGCTTCTTCTTGAAGCCCAGATGCAGCGACTCCTGTGTAACTGTGTAAATACGCTCATGTTTCAGCCCTCCCTGGCTGGGTGTTTACCTACCAGACGTGTCCTGGTGGGGGGTTGGGGACAGCTGGGGGCCTCCCCGGTCCACCCCACCCGCCGCTGAGTCACCTCCGCCCTGAGCCCTGGCTTCCTCCTGGACAAGTGGGTTCCTGGGGGAGGGGCCGGTGCGGGGAAAGGTGTGTTTTTGCCCAAGGGAGTGAAGGTCCAAAGGTCCCCTCTCAAAATCTGCAAGGGGTATAATCGGGAATGGCCAGGAGGCCTGTGCCCCCAAACCCCCGCAGCACGCGGGCTCGGGCCGCCCCCCTCCATGGACACACACCCTCAGGACTTCAGTGTCCACGAAGCCTCAGATACCCTCGCTGGGTCCTCGGTTTCCCTGTCTGTAAAGTGGTCTTGTTGGGTGCTGTGGGAAACAGATGAGCCAGCCCTTGGAGACTGTGTCAACAGAAGTTTAGTTATTCATTCAACAAACAAGCAGTGAGCGCCCACTGTGGGCTGGGCACAGGCAGGCACGGGGGAGGAGAGCAAAGAAGTAAACAGGCCAGCCGGGGCCAGTTGGTTTCCGGAGCTTCCTGGTCAGGCTGACTGGGCTAGGTAGGGGCGAGGCCGTTTCTGGGGGTGGTGACCACACAGCCCAGGCCGGAGTGTCCAGGTGCCACAGGCGGAGAGCTCCCTGAGTTTGGGGCACTGTGTGGAGGGCCCGTGGCTGGGCATAGGAATTTTAAAATTTCATTTTATTTTATTGGTAGTATTTTTTACCACACTCCCCCCCACGCCGTCGGAACTTATACATGGTTTTCCCGAGTCAGTCTCTTTCTGTCACCCGGGCTGGACTGCAGAGCCTCAATCTCAGCTCACGGCAGCTTCCCCTCCCGGGTTCAAGCAATTCTCCTGCCTCAGCCTGCTGAGTAGCTGGGACTACAGACACCCGCGGCCATGTCTGGCTAATTCGTTTCGTGTTTTTGGTAGAGATGGGGTTTTTCTGTGTTGGCCAGGCTGGTCTCAAACTCCTGGCCCAAGTGACCCAGCAGCCTCTGCCTCCCAAAGTGCTGGCTGGGATTACAAGCCTGAACCGCCGCACCCGGCCGCCCGGCGTCGGGGTTTTGATGTGCGACCTCCTGCCTGTTCCTTCCTTTTCTGGAGGGGAGTGTTGGTGACTCCCAGGCCCTGCTACCTACCCCAGAGGCCAGATGTTGGCTCATTTCTTGCTGAAAACTGATTGAAGTCAGCCAGCTCTATCCGGTGCTGGGACTCGAATTCCAGTGCTCAGCCCAGCACTAGAGGCCCAAGGGAGGGTCGTGAGTCCCTCAAAAGCCCCTCAAACACCAGTGGAAACAGCCCTGGTGGGTCCAATGCCAGGCCAAGGGGGAGCCAGGCCTTGCCCTGGGACACTAGGGAGCTGGGGCCTGCGCTGGAGCAGGGGAAGGACTGGGCAGGTCTTCGGGGGCCTGGAGGAGGTCCTGGAGGGGGGGCCTGTGGGGCTTCGGTGTGAGGGAAGCAGGGTGGCTCGGGGGTTCCAGATGAGACCCAGGTTCACGTGCGGCTTGCATTTTCTGGGTGGCAGCGGGACAGCCCCGCTTCTCCAAGCCTCAAACCCTTCATCTGTAACATGGGGGTGACACTAGGCCCCTTGCCGGGAGGGCTTGGGCTGTGTCACTGAGCCCCGCCCCGCTCACTTCCCCAAGGGCTCCCCTCGGATGTGACTTCCGTTATCGGCCCTGTCCAGCTGTTGGGGTGATGTGGGCCCCAGGGCCTCAGGGGGGGCTGTGGGTGAATCTGGGGCGTGGGAGGAGCCTCACGTTGTGTGCAGCTTCAGAGACGCTGGCTTCACGTGACCCTGCGTGCCCATTCGGTGCCTGTCGGCCGCTGTGCTCTGTGCTGAGGACGTGGGCCACCGCCGCCTCCTTCACAGCAGCGGGAGCTTGGGCGGTGACTTTGTGCCTTGGTTTACAAACCTGTATAAGGGGGCCGGGCGCAGTGGCTCATGCCTGTCATCCCAGCACTTTGGGAGTCTGAGGCGGGTGGATCGCTGGAGGTCAGGTGCTCGAGACCAGCTTGGCCAACATGGTGAGACCCTGTCTCTACTAAAAATGCGAAAATTAGCTGGGCGTGGCGGATGCCTGTAATCCCAGCTACTGGGGAGGCTGAGGCAGGAGGGTAGTTTGAACCCGGGAGGCGGGGGTTGCAATGAGCCAAGATCGAGCCGCTGCACTCCAGCCTGGGTGACAGAGTGAGACTCCATCTCAAAACAAAGCAAAAAAAACCCCAATTCTGTATAATGGGCATTAAAGTAATGTCACTTGCCTCCTGGGGGACAGTGCAGGTGACAGGAAATGAGCCTAACATGGGAAAAATACTCAGTCCAGGGACACTAGTATGACTGAGAGCCGTGTGGCCTGGCTGAGGGGTGAGTTCCCCATCAGAGGAGGAAACCAAGCCAGTGGCAGTTGAGATGAGGAGGGGAATTCATCCCAGGCCCTTTGGGCTCTAAGTACCCCTCCCAAACCAACTTGTTCCCACTTTTTGAGAGGGACCTGAGGTGAAAGGTTGCAGGGGGAAGCATCCTAGCTGGGGTTCACACACTCAGGGCTGTGTGTGGCTAACGCCACAGCCCCCGGAGGTGCCGGTTTCTGTTTCCAGCCTTGCCTCAGCCACCAGGTTCCGAGTTGGCCTTGCCTTGGCCGGTGAGGTCCAGGTTTGAGGCTTGACCGGAGCCTCTCCCTCGGGTCCGTATTGGTGGGTGCTCGTGCGTATGTGAGGTTTTTGTTCCGGCGACTTTTCATAGAGGTTTGCTGCGGTCTGTGGAGACTGTGCTGTTAACCTGCCTGTCCCCTTCCCACTTCAGACAGCCCTGGGTCTCCTCGCCTTGTTTACTTTTTTTTTTTTTTTTTTTACGAGACAGAGTCTCGCACTGTCGCCCGGGCTGGAATGCGGTGGTGCGATCTCAGCTCACTGCAACGTCTGCCTCCCGGGTTCAAGCGATTCTCCTGCCTCGGCCTCCCGCGTCGCTGGGATTACAGGTGTGAGCCACCACACCCGGCTACTTTTATGTATTTTAGTAGAGACGGGGTTTTACCGTGTTGGTCAGGCTGGTCTCGAACTCCTGATCTCACGTGATCCGCCTGCCTCGGCCTCCCAAAGTGCTGGGATTACAGGTGTGAGCCACCGCGCCCGGCCTACTTTTTAATTTTTAATTTATTATTAATTTTTAAAGATAGGGTTTCTCCATGTTGGTCAGGCTGGTCTCAAACTCCCGACCTCAGGTGATCTGCCTGCCTCGGCCTCCCAAAATGCTGGGATTACAGGTGTGAGCCACCACGCCTGGCCCTTTTTAAAAAAAAAAAAAAAGAGTCTTGCTCTGTTGCCCAGGCCGGAGTGCACTGGCGCAGTCTTGACTCACTGCAACCTTTGCTTCCCAGGTTCAAGTGGTTCTCCTGTCTCAGCCTCTTTTTTTTTTTTTTTTTTTTTTGAGTCAGAGTTTCACTGTTGTCACCCAGGCTGGAGTGCAATGGCGCGATCTCGGCTCACCGCAACCTCCGCCTCCTGGGTTCAGGCAGTTCTCCTGCCTCAGCCTCGTGAGTAGCTGGGATTACAGGCACGCGCCACCATGCCCAGCTAATTTTTTGTATTTTTAGTAGAGACGTGGTTTCACCGTGTTGACCAGGATGGTCTCGATCTCTTGACCTCGTGATCCACCCACCTCGGCCTCCCAAAGTGCTGGGATGACAGGTGTGAGCCACCGTGCCCGGCCGCTGTCTCAGCCTCTTGTGTAGCTGGAATGACAGGCGCCCACCAGCACACCTGGCTAATTTTTGTATTTTTGGTAGAGAGAGGGTTTCACCATGTTGGCCAGGCTGGTCTAGAACTCCTGACCTGAAATAATCCATCTGCTCAGCCTCCCAAAGTGCTGGGATGACAGGCGTGAGCCGCCGCGTCCAGCCAATCAGCTCGTTTACTTTCGGTGCCATCACGCCAACCTTAACCTCCTGGATTCAAGCAATCCTCCAGCCTCAGGCCCCGGAGTAGCTGGGACTACAGGCATGTACCAGCACACCTGGTTAATTTTCTAATTATTATTATTTTTTTGTAGAGACAGTGTCTTGCTACATTGCTCAGGCTGGTCTTGAACTCCTGAGCTCAAGGAGGTAGCAGCCTGTCTGTGACGCACACAGGCTTATTAAGGCTTGAGAACTCTTTACATATGTGTGGACCCTGGTGAGCACTGATCTAATTCCTGATCCCCTTGACTGCATAGCCTCGCTCTATCGCCAGGCTGGAGTGCGGTGGCGCGATCTTGGCTCACCGCAACCTCCACCTCCCGGGTTCAAGCGATTCTCCTGCCTCAGCCTCCTGAGTAGCTGGGACTACAGGCACACGCCACCACGCCCAGTTAATTTCTGTATTTTTAGTAGAGACGGGGTTTCGCCATTTTGGTCAGGCTGGTCTCGAACTCCTGACCTTGTGATCTGCCCGCCTTGGCCTCCCAAAGTGCTGGGATTGCAGGCGTGAGCCACCGTGCCCGGCCTGTTTGTTTTGAGGTACGGTCTTGCTCTGTTGCCCAGGCTGGAGTGCGGTACTGCGATCACAGCTCGCGGCAGCTTCAGCCTCTCCAGGCCCAAGTGATCCCCCTGCCTCCAGCTCCCAATGTGCTGGGATTACAGGAGCCCCGCAGCCTGGCCCGTGTGGTTTTTCCTTGCCAGAAAAGTCCCCATCCAGGAGGCCCCCCCCAGCCCACTTCCCAGGTGGCTGCTGTGTGCACCTGCCCCACTGCGTTTGCAGCAGGAGGCCCGGCTGTGACAGCTAATCCGTCTCCACAATTAATGTCATTTGTTGGGGCCAGGCCGATTAGCTCTGGGGGTGCGGCTCCAGCCCCTCTTTTGTCCTGGCCCCAGGGACAGGGGACATTAAGGGACAGGCAGGGGGCCTTGGGCATCACCTGGAGCTTCTGAGACTGTTTACTTCCTCCTCTGCTGCTGGGGGTGGATAAAATCAAGTTTCTCGACTCTCCGTTTCTGAAGGAAGCTGTTCTTCACATCCCAGAGGCAGCGTGCCCTGCTGGCCTGCAGCTAACACCTTGAATACTGGGGCAGGAGGGTGGGGGGCGGCAGCATTTCTTGGTCATTCACCTGCTGTGTGATTTCGGGCAACTGTCTTCAGTTTTCTGAGCCTCAGTTTACTAATCTGTCATCACAATTTTTTTTTTTTGAGACAGTGTCTCACTCTGTCTCCCAGGCTGGAGTTCAGTGGGATGACCTTGGCCCACTGCAACCTCCGTCTCCCGGGTTCTGGCGATTCTCCTGCCTCAGCCTCCCGCGTGGCTGGGGTTACAGGCATGCACCACCGTGGCCGGCTAATTTTTGTGTTTGTAGTACAGATGGGGTTTCACCAAGTTGGCCAGGCTGGCCTCAAACTCCTGACCCCAGGTGATCCGCCCACCTTGGCCTCCCAGAGCGCTGAGATTACAGGTGTCAGGCGCCGCGCCTGGCCTTTTAATTTTATTTTTATTTTTTGAGATAGGGTCTCACTCTGTCACCCAGGCTGGAGTGCAGTGGCACGATCTCAGCTCACTGCAACCTCTGTCTTGCAGGTTCAAGTGATTCTCCCACCTCAGCCTCCTGAGTAGCTGAATTACAGGCACATGCCACCACACCTGGTTAATTTTTGTATTTTTTTGGTAGAGGCAGGGTTTCACCATGCTGGCCAGACTTGTCTTGAGTTCCTGACCTAAAGTGATCCACCCATCTTGGCCTCCCAGAGTGCTGGGATTACAGACATGAGCCAATGTGCCTCACTTAATTTTTTTTTTTTTTTTGACACAGTTTTGCTCTGTTGCCCAGGCTGGAGTGCAGTGGTGCCACCACGCCAACTTAAACTTCCTGGACTCAAGTGATCCTCCAGCCTCAGGCCCCTGAGTAGCTGGGACTACAGGCATGTACCAGCACACCTGGTTAATTTTCTAATTATTATTATTATTTTTTTTTTTTGTAGAGACAGTGTCTGGCTATGTTGCTCAGGCTGGTCTTGAACTCCTGAGCTCAAGCGATCCGCCGGCCTCAGCGTCCCACAGCGCTGAGATCACAGGCATGAGCCACCGCGCCCAGTCTGTCATCACAGATACCTCTGGGTGATGTGGGGAGGAAACACATAGGACTTTAAGGGCCGAGGACTCCACACACCATAGGGCTGAGCTCTTCATTGCTGGGAGAAACCCAGCAGGCCATGGCTGTGGTAAGGTTCTTTTCGGAGATCCTGGCCAGTCTTGGCCCTGAGGACCACCCCCGCCCCGGCCCACAGGTCCCTTCCCAGCTGCCTGCCTGCCCTCGCCAGCTCCCAGGTGAAGAGACTGTCAGCTTCCAGGCGGAAGCAGCACTTCATCAACCAGGCAGTGCGCAACTCAGACCTCGTGCCCAAGGCCAAGGGGCGGAAAAGCCTCCAGCGCCTGGAGAACAGTGAGCAGGGGTCGGAAGGCGCCTCTTCGGGGCTCCTGGGTCTTGTAGAATGGTGTGTGTGTTGGTGTTCTCTCTGCCCCTCCCATGAGCTGGGCCTGGGCAGGGCTGGGGACCCAAAGAAGTGTCACCTTTAGGCCAGGGGAGCATATAAGAGAGCCAGACACAGGTGCCCTCTGGACTCCTGGATCAGGGCTAGGTGGGAGGGTGCTCCGAGCATTGGAGCTGGGGCTTTAAAGGATGTGTAGGAGTTCAACAAGCCAGGAAGTGGAGGTGGTTTCTGCACCTTCTGGGGAGTACAGCTGGAGCATGGAGGCGGGGTGACCGAGATGATAAAATGAGAGGAAGCCTAGTTCTCGAGTCCCCGTTGAGGCTGGGGTCCCCGAACACCACCCCGACACAGAGACCACCTGCTTCCACCTAGCCCAGTACCTCCTGACCCTGCTGGAGACAGATGGGGGCCCGCCTGGCCTGGAGGACGGGGACGTGGCACCCCCTGCATCACCCGGCATCTTCGCAGAGGCCTGCAACAATGCCACCTACGTGGAGGTGCGGCCCCAACCCCCTCGCTCCCTCCATGTGGGAACCCCTGGCTCCACATCACTTCTACGGCCAGAGCACCCGCCCACTTCCCATCTCCTAAAGAAGGCCCCGCCGTCTCCCCTGGGGTCCCCAGACCAGGCCAGAATCTCCACCGGACCCCTGGAACCTGCCAGCTCCTGGATTCATCCACCCAACATGTTTTGGAATCCCCCTCCAGTATTGTTGTTTGTTTGTTTGTTTGAGACCGAGTTTTGCTCTTTTGCCCAGGCCGGAGTGCAATGGCACAATCTCCAATCACTGTAACCTCCACCTCTCGGGTTCAAGCGATTCTCCTGCCTCAGCCTCCCAAGTAGCCGGGACTACAACTACCACCACACCCAGCTAATTTGTGTATTTTTAGTAGAGACAGGGTTTCATCATGTTGGCCAGGCTGGTCTTGAACTCCTGACCTAGTGATCCACCTGCCTCAGCCTCCCAAAGTGCTGGGATGACAGGCGTGAGCCACGCCGTGGCCTTGGGGGAGTGTTTTATTCACATCAGCTCCCCTCACCCCAGACAGCTGGGCCTATCCAGGTTCCCCAGGGCCCCGCCCTCAGCTCAGGACCCGACACAAGCAGCGGCTCCGCGGACAGGTGACCGCAGGAGCGCTTCCCCCTGCTTGGCGGCCTTTCTTGCCCATTCGCCGAATGAGGTGCTGAGGCCCAGAGACGTCAGCGCAGCCCGGGGTCTCACAGCAAGCTTGGCGGCCTCTCTTCCAGGTCTGGAACGACTTCATGAACCGCTCCGGGGAGGAGCAGGAGCGAGTTCTTCGCTACCTGGAGGATGACAGCAAGAGCAAGGCGCGGAGGAAGGGCCCTGGCCGGGGGGAGGACCGGAGGAGAGGTGCGGGCCTGGCTGGGGCAGGTGTGGGGAAGCCGGGGCAGGTGTGGGGAAGCCGGGGCAGGGGTGGGGGCGGGACCCGGGGTGGGTGGGGCCAGGATGGGGGTGGGATTACGGTTGGGGCGGGGCCTGGGTGGGTTGGACCTAGCGTGTGGGTGGGGCCAGGGTATGGATGGGGGGGGGGCAGGGGGTGGGGGTGGCCAGGATGTGGGTGCCCAGGATATGGATGGCAGTGGGTAGGGGTGGGACCTGGAGATAGATAGAGGTGGGGCTGGCTGGCTTGTTTGTGACTGGTATGGGCAGGTCCTCCTGTATACCTGGGGCCAGCTGGATGGGTTGCGGGGTCAGGGTATAAACGGACGTGGCTGTGTGTGTAGGGTCTGCTCTCTGGGTGGGGCCACAGTGTGGGCGAGGGTGTGGTTTGGTGAGCAGGTGAGGCCAAGGCACAGATGGGCATGGTCTCCTGGGAGAGCGTGGTCTGGCAGGTGTGCAGGGCCAGGACGGGCGCCCCAAGACTGCCCCCGCCCCCGTTCCCCCATTCCTGCAGAGGACCCCGCCTATACACCCCGCGAGTGCTTCCAGCGCATCAGCCGGCGTCTGCGAGCCGTCCTCAAGCGCAGCCGCATCCCCATGGTGAGTGCCTGGTGCAGGGCGTCGCCTTTCTGTCTGCCTCGTCTTTTTTGAAGGCCCCTTTCCCAGGCACAGGTTCTCACCTGGTGCAGGTCGCATCAGAGGAAACAGGGCAGGATACAGACAGTGGGACCAGGGATCTGAGTGGGAGGGCGGGGGCAACGAAGGCGGGCACTGCTGGGTGTGTAGGAGTTCCTTGGCAGAAAGTGGGCACTGCAGGGTATGTAGGAATTCCTTTGACAGAAGGGTACTCCAGGGTTTGTAGGAGTTCCTTGGCAGAAGGCGGGCACTGCAGGGTGTGTAGGAGTTCCCTTGGCAGAGCGCGGGCACTGCAGGGTATGCAGGAATTCCCTTGGCAGAAGGGTACTGCAGGGTGTGTAGGAGTTCCCTAGGCAGAAGGTGCAGGAAGTGGGAGGTGGTGATGTCTAAGTGTGTGGTGGCCTTGGAGACAGTTAAGCAGCCTCACGTGGCGGGTCAGAGGTCATGTTCGGGCCCAGCCCTGTGGGCTCCTGGGGGGCCTGGACAGCCCTCGTCCCCCCCCCACCCGAAGGTTCCTTAGTGCCCTGGCTGCCCTCCCCAGGAAACCCTGGAGACCTGGGAGGAGCGGCTGCTCCGGTTCTTCTCCGTGTCCCCCCAGGCCGTGTACACAGCCATGCTGGATAACAGGTAAGCAGGGAAGGGGGGTGGCAGGTGGGCGGAACCCCCACTTCCTTGGCCCCGGCACATTGCTCACTGCCCGTCCCCCGCAGCTTCGAGCGGCTCCTGCTGCATGCCGTCTGCCAGTACATGGACCTCATCTCCGCCAGTAAGTGCTGATGGCCCCCAAGACCCCAAGTTGGCGGGCTCCACACGGGAAAGTGGCCAGGGTCCCACAGGGCTAGTTCCTCAGAGCGGGGCTTTGTGGGGAGCTGGGGAAGGCGGCTGGAGTGGGGATGATACGAACTCAGGGGTGGCAGCGGGACCCTGCCTTGAACTGGCCAGAAGCTCTCCGGCGTACCCGTCCCCATGCAGAGTGACTGCAGGCACAGCCAGGCTGCTGGACACAGACGCCCTCCACATCTTCAGGGCCCGGGTGGGGGTGATAACACCTGGCTTGGAGGAACCTCTGGAGTCAGAGATAAGATGGGGGGGTGCAGTGTCTGGAAGATTCGCATTTAGCTGTAGGGTCTCCCCCATACCACACATGGGACTTCAGACGAGAACCCCTCCTGGCGCCTGTGCTCCCACTTTTCCAAGGGGGTGTGGTCTGAGAACACCTTCCCCCCACCAGCGAGGGTCTGTGCAGGTGCCTGCTGGCGCCAGGCCCCCCATCTGGTCCTGGGCCGCTCCCACCTGTCTTGCCTCCTGCCTGGAGTTGCCAAGGGGATTGTTTCCATGGCAACCTGATGGCGCTTCCCCCGTTCCCTCTGTGGGAGACGCAGCCCCCATGCCTGCATCTGTTGGGAACATAGGGTCTTGGCTGGGGGTGCGGGGCTTGGCGCTTGGTGGCATGGAGCTGTGGTCTTCACACGGAAGAGGAAGGGTTCCAGCAAGATGGGGGGTGAGGGTCCCAGGCAGAGGGGATGGCTGAGGCACAGGCCCAGAGGTGGCATGGAGCTCACATGGGACATGGCTTGTTTTTTTGTTTGTCATTGAGATGGACGCTCGCTCTGTCGCCCAGGCTGGAGTGCAGTGGTGTGATCTCGGCTCCCTGCAACCTCCACCTCCCGGGTTCAAGCGATTCTCCTGCCTCAGCCTCCCGAGTAGCTGGGATTCCAGGCCCACGCCACCGTGCCTGGCTAATTTTTGTATTTTTAGTAGAGACGAGGTTTCACCATGTTGGTCAGGCTGGTCTCAAACTCCTGACCTCCTGATCATCCCGCCCCGGCCTCCCAGAGTGCTGAGATTACAGGCATGAGCCACTGCGCCGGCCCACTCATTCATTTTTTGCAGTAAGGGGGAGATGGGGAAGGGGAGGCTAGTGGGAGCTGGGCCACCCAGGGCCTGGGTGCCTCAAAGCCACCTCTACGGGGCAGGCCTGGGAGGCCAGACACTGTCAGCACATGTGTGAGTGGCCACGTGGCCTCAGGCCCGGTGCCTTTCAGGGTCCCCCTACGCACCGTGGGATGCGTGGCAGTGGCGAGTGAGGTGAGCCCCAGATGAAAGCATGCCTGTGGGGAGACTTAGGTGTTCTTGTGAGCCAGGCTCCAGGACCCCGGGGCTTAGGGCCAGCCAGGCCACCGTGACCAGCACACACGGCTGGCGGTGACCTCCCCAGGAATAAGTGAGGGCGGTCTGGGTCCAAGGCACCTCAACCTGCCGTGGCTCCCGAATGCCCCCCAATCTTACCCCACTGGTCCCTTCTGCAGGTGCCGACCTGGAGGGGAAGCGGCAGATGAAGGTCAGTAACCGGCACCTGGACTTCCTGCCGCCCGGACTGCCCCTGTCCGCCTACCTGGAGCAGCGCAGCTGATGGCGGCCCCTCGGAGCCCCCACTGCCGCCTCGCCCAGCACCAAGCCCTTTGATACTTTCCGCTACCGATACCTGTCTCTCACGTTTTTAGAATTTGTCTTTGGAAACCTTTTTCCCTTGGGGTGATCTCTCTCACCCTGCTCCCTCCTCACGCAACAGACGCCACCGGTGGCTGGGACTTCCCATCCCATCCTAGCTCCAAGCTTCCCACTCTGGGACTTGTATTTGGGTGGGGAGACCCGGCCTGGGCCTGTTCCTGCTTCTTCATTGATTGGGTTTTCTGGCCCAGTCTGAAGCTCAAGTGAGGAGGGGGAGGCTGGGTTTTTATCACTTTTAATGAATTTGGTGTGATTTGTTGTAGATTTTTAAATTTCCCTTTTGGACAGAAAAACCAAAAAACCCACCCCACTGGTAAAGCATGGGTCTTGGTCCCAGCCCCTGCTCAGCCCCTCCCAGTTTTTAGCTTGAATGAGGAAGGGGGGTCTCTGGGACCCTGCCCCTCATGCCAGAAGCATCTTGTATTGCGTGTGTGCGTGTGTGCGTGTGTGTGTGTGTGTGTGTGTGTGCGCGCGCACGCGCCTGCCCCTCATGCCAGAAGCATCTTGTATTGCGTGTGTGCGTGTGTGTGTGTGTGTGTATGTGTTTGTGTGTGTGTGTGTGTGTGTGTGCGCGCGCGCGCGTGCGCCTTGAGGCCCAGGACAGGGCTGTGTCCCGAGGGCTGGTTTCATCCTCCTTGCTCCTCGTGCCCTCCCCACACCGCCTCTGTCAGGGCTCAGGGTCCCGCCTGCTTTACATGAACCTCCCTCTTTTCTTCCCCTCCTTTACACTGGGGGTCCAGGACTCCAGCCAGAAGCCTCTGCCCTTGCACCACCTTGTCTGTCCCGCCCACTCCATGTCCCCCTGTCCCCCAGCCTGGCTCCTGCTTGATAGCCCCTGTGTCCCCATGCTGGTCCTCCTGACACAGGCTGCACGAGTCAGGCTGGGGGCCTCCCCACCCCCTCGCCGAGTGTGGGTGATTGTATTTTGGGGGGAAGTGGGGGATTTAATAAATTTCTGGTGCTCTGGCCTCAGGCTTTGTGGATTTTTCTTTTGGTGCAAGGCTGGGGGCTGAGTAGGTCCTGGTCACCTAGGGCTGCCAGTGCCCCCCAGCCCCTCTACTCTTGGGTGCCTGGGTTCAAACCCCGACTCTGCCACACACCTGCTGTGTGACCTTAGGTGAGTGGCCTATATGAGTGCCCTGGGGCCCCTGTAATAGAGTATCTTACACTGGGGGCGCGAAACGGCAGAAGGCCAGCGAGGTGGCCCACACCTGTGATTCCAGCCCTTTGGGAGGCCAAGGAGGATCGCTTGAGCCCAGGAGTTTGAAACTAGATGGGGTAACATAGCAAGACCCTGTCTCTACAAAAAAATGAAAGAAATTAGCAGGGTTTGGTGGCACGCCTGTAGTCCCAGCTACTTGGGAGGCTGAGGTGGGAGGATCACTTGGGCCTGGGAGGTTGAGGCTGCGGTGAGCTGAGACTGTGCCACTTCACTTCAGCCTGGGTACGGAGGAAGACCCTCTGTCAAGGAAAAACAAAAGGGAAATCTATTCTCTCACAATTCTGGAGGTACAAGTCTGAGGTCAAGGTGTCTGCAGGGTGACACTCCCTCTGGACTCCAAGGGGAGGAGACTTCCTGCCTCTCCCAGCTTCTGGGGGCTCCATGTGTCCCTGGCTTGTGGCCACATCGGTGTGGTCTCAGCCTCCGTCTCCAAGAGGCCGTCTTCCCTGCGTGCTATGTCTTGTCTTGACATCACCCTCCCTCCACGGGTCTGTGCCCAAGGGATCTCCGTGTAAGGACGCCCATCATTGGGTCAGGCCCACACTAATCACCTCCTTTTAACCTGATTACCTCAGAAAGACCGTTTCCAAATAAGATCGCACTCTGAGGTGGTGGGAGTTAGGAATTCAAAGTCTTTTTTTTTTTTTTTTTTTTGAGACAGAGTTTGCTCTCACCCAGGCTGGAGTGCAATGGTGTGATCGTGGCTCACTGCAACCTCCAGCTCCTGGGCTCAAGCGAGTCTCCTGCCTCAGCCTCCCGAGTAGCTGGGATGACAGGTGGCCGCCACCATGGCCGGCTCATTTTTGTGTTTAGTAGAGAGACAGGGTTTCACCACAATGGTCGGGCTGGTCTGAAACTCCTGACCTCAGGTGATCCAACTGCCTTGGTTTCCCAAAGTGCTGGGATTACAGGCGTGAGCCACTGTGCCTGGCCCCCACCCTGCTGATTTTGTACTTTTTGTAGAGATGGGGTCTGGCTATCTTTCTCACGCTGGTCTCGAACTCAAGCTGTCTTCCCACCTTGTCTTCCCAAAGTGCTGGGATTACAGGTGTGCGCCACCACACCCTGACCCCTGAGAACTGTAAACACCTACCTGCTGCCTGGGAATGCAGATTTTCTGTAAGGTCGCTGCGTGGCCTTCTTGGGGAACTGAACCCTGATCCAGAAAAACCCTCTGATGGGCTGGATGTGGTGGCTCACGCCTGTAATTCCCACATTTTGGGAAGCCAAGGTGGGTGGATCACAAGGTCAGGAGTTTGAGACCAGCCTGACCAACATGATGAAACTCTGTATCTACTAAAAATACAAAAATCAGCTGTGCGTGGTGGCGCACGCCTGTAGTCTCAGCTACTCAGGAGGCTGAGGTGGGAGAATCACTTGAACCCTGGAGGCAGAGGTTGCAGTGAGCCGAGATCACACCATTGCACTCCAGCCTGGGTGACAGAGTGAGATTCCATCTCAAAAACCTCTGATATCTGGGCTGTTGTTAACTTGCAATTTTAGAATAGTTTATATTTGCAGAATTCTTGCAAAAATCATGCAGTGAGGCTGCAGTGGATCCTGCCTGTAATCTAAGCACTTTGGGAGGCTGGGTTTGGAGGAGCATTTGAGGCCTGGAGCTTGAGATCAGCCTGGGCAACACAGTGAGACCTGATCTCTATTAAAAATTTTAAAAAGAAATGAAAGGCCGGGCGCGGTGGCTCAAGCCCGTAATCCCAGCACTTTGGGAGGCCGAGGCGGGTGGATCACGAGGTCAAGAGATCGAGACCATCCTGGTCAACACGGTGAAACCCCGTCTCTACTAAAAATACAAAAAATCAGCTGGGCATGGTGGTGCGTGCCTGTAATCCCAGCTACTCAGGAGACTGAGGCAGGAGAATTGCCTGAACCCAGGAGGCGGAGGCTGCGGTGAGCCGAGATCGCGCCATTGCACTCCAGCCTGGGTAACAAGAGTGAAACTCTGTCTCAAAAAAAAAAAAAAAGAAAAGAAAAA